GTGTAAAGACAGTTTTAAAAACACAAACTGAAAAGTCATTTACCAAAAGATCCCCATGTCATTTCACTTCCCTTTTGAAACAAAATTTTAATCTGATGTTACCCCAAAATATTTCCTCTTCTGAAATATTTCTGAACACAGGGAATCCAGTTTCTTAGGAGATGTAATACTGAGTTTTAGGGAAGTAGAAATCAACTTAACCCCAGCATCACAAATGCCAACGAAAGACAGCAAGAACCTAAAACACTCACTGATCCAACTGTGATCTTAAAACACATACACACACACACACACACAACTCACTGATCCAACTGTGATCTTAAAACACATACACACACACACACACTCTCACAACACAGGACAGAATTTGGATGTTATGCACAGCACAGAAAATTTGCTAGGAAATTTGATTAATTTATTATTTGTTCATTTCTCCGAGGTGTTTCTCTGAAACACTACCACCGATCAAGTATCTGCTGTAGGTCAGCACTTTGTAAAAATTACTCCATTTATAATTCCAAATGACTTATCTCGTAAAGTGTTTTTATTCCTATTGTACCAAGTGGCAAACCTTGCCCAGGTTTCCGCTGTTAGGAATGGCACTGCCAGGACCATAATGCACCTTCTCTCAGTTAGAGCCTGCCCTTGAGAGAGCCCCAGAGCGCGTCCCTGGTGCAATACGTGTGACAACTCAGTGTGACAAGCACCCCCCACGAAGGGCCCACGATTCACCTCTGGACCAACTGCACGATGCTCTGGGTGTTCATGAAGAAGACCTCTCGGTCAGCCTTCCGCTGCAGGGTGGCCGCGTGACAGTCCAGGATGGTGGCTATCTGCACGGGAAAACAAGACAGGTCTGACCGCTGACAACCACGTGGTCGAAAGGCCCCACCGCGGGCTCCCAGGGAGGTCCCATCCGAGACTCGTTCAAAGACGAAAAATTCGAACCCCAAAGCCCTCCAGCCACCCCAGAACAGCCCTGTTCACCCTCCTCAGCATACTGCTTGAGGAATTCAGGGCTGAGAAGGACGAGCAACACATAAAGAGGTGTGTACATTCACACCTCACCCCTCCACGGGTGTGAATGGGACGGAGAAAGAGGAGAGGGGAATGTACAGCTCTGGCCAAAATGAGGGTCCTTGTTTTGGGGCAAGGTCCTGCCTTTATAATTAGATTTCATGTGACCGGTATATTGCTTTTGGCATCAAAACTATTCTTAAAGCAAAAAAGTCCTGCATCAGTGACAAATTCCCGAAAGTTCCAAACACGTACCTTCTCCTTGAGGGTCCTCTAGAGTTTTGTTTTTTTGTCATTTTTTAGTCGAGATATAACTTACATACCATAATATTCCACTACCCCTCTCTCAGTGGTTGGTAGTATATTCACGAAGTTGGGAAACTATCACCACTATGTAATTTTAAAGCATTTTCATCGCCCTAAAAAGAAAACTTGTCCCTATTAGTGGTCACTCCCCATGTCCCCTCCCGACGCCAGTGCCTGGCAACACTAAGTGATTTTTTTCCGTCCGTGAATTTGCCTGTTCTGGACATTTCACATAAATGGAATCACACGATGGGTGATTTCTGCCTGGCTTCTCTCCCTTTAGCATAATAGCTTCGTCCACATGGTAGCACGAATCAGTAGCACGAATTCATTTCTTTTTATGGCTGAACAATGTTCCAACCTCTAATCCTGCTGGCCTCTGGGGAAGACGTGAATTTCCCGAATCACTGACGTGTGGGTGGGAGATTGAGGACGGTGGGAAGCCCTTCCAACCAGAGGGCAGGAAGGAAACCCAGCAGAGGGGCTCTTCCGGTGCAAATCACCTTTAAAATGCTCCACGACAGCAGCAACAACAACAAAACGAACAACACGAGGCCAGTGTGGAATTAGTAGAGAGATTTTATACCACCCTGGAATGGTTTCCATTCTTAGAAAGTATTATGTATATCTAGAGCCCCCAGACTATCACCTTACAAAACCCAGAGCAAATCAAAGCTGCAAACCAGTATGAAAAACTTGCAATTTCTCCCAATGACGTCAGCTAGTTCCGCCTTTGGAAAACGCTCACTCTCTTTGCAACCAACTGCTTCCTCCTATTCTGAATCTGCGTTTTATGGAGTGAGGCCTCATGACTGTTGACATTCAGCCGAACAACTGTTGCTTTGGAGAAAATGATGGGTTTCTGCAAACAGGGCTGGGAAGAAAACCCAGGCCCCCAGCATGCAGGGCGCAAGAGGGTCTCAGGAAGCCCACCTTGATCAGAGGCCAGACTGACTGGGAGTTGGCCCAGCGCGAGCATCCCAGTGGGTGGGGGACACGCACCTGCTGGCTGGGGAACTGGCACAGCACCGAGGTGATGTTGCTGGCGTACTGGGCCATCACGCGGTGGACCGCCTTCTCCACGGGGGCGGGGATGCGGCCTGACACGCTGGTCATGATGTCCTGCAGCTCCAGCAGGGGCAGTGACGGGTGCCGGAGGGTTGTCATCAGCTTCTGCACCCACTCCTTCAGCTGCAGCGGGGACCAAAGCGTCAGCCCTCAGCCCTGCAGGGGCACATGGGCACTGCCACCCACCATGGGGTGCCCAACTCGACTCGACTTGACCCACCCGGGCCCCCCTGCACTCAAGAGGCTGGAGATCTAGACCCAGCAGCCTCTGGAGCAGTCCAGAGTGAAACAGCCCCCTGACCACACGGGCAATACCCAGTTTCCCCGTGCCAGAAGGCCCCTACTCCCCTCTCCGCGCGTCCTGACGGCCAGCGTGGGCTGGGGCTAGGACATAAGGTCGTGTGATAAGCTAACATTTGTTGTGTTTAATGCCAGACAGTGTTCTGCGACCTTTCTCTACATGTTCGCATTAGATCCTTAGAAAAATAACCCTACGACATAGGTCTCATGATTATTCCCATTTTACGGCTGAGGCAACTGAACACAGAGAGGTGAATTAAGTTCCCCAAGGTCATTCAGCTGGTAAAAAGCAAAACCAGGATGTAAACCCAGGCCACTGAGCTCCGGAGACTTTTTTTTTTGTCTTTTAAAGAGACAGGGTCTTGCTCTGTCAACCAGGCTGGAGTGCAGTGGTGTCATCATAGCTCACTGCAGCCTCAAATTCCTGGGCTCAAGCCATCCTCATGCTTCAGCCTCTCAAGTAGCTGGGACTACAAATGCATGCCACCACACCTAGCTAAATTTTAAAAATATTTTTGTAGAGACGAGTCTTGCTATGTTGCTCAGGCTGGTCTCAAACTCCCAGGCTCAAGCGATCCTCCTACCTTGGCCTCCCAAAGTATTGGGATTACAGGAGTGAGCCACCACACCCGGCCACATATCAGTTCACTTTTAAACCTCACAACCACACTATGGGCTTGGCCCCATTATCATCCCCATCCAAAGACCATCAACATTGGCCACTGTGCCTGGCCTCCTGGGGCTCCTGACAGCCACCCTACACTGCTTCCAGGGTACCTCGGCAGCTCATGTTGATGATCTTCAAATGACAACGAAGTCAAGCCCATAGTGTGGTTTTGAGGTTTAAAAATGAACTGATGTATGGCCAGGTGCGGTGGCTCATGCCTGTAATCTCAGCACTTTGGGAGGCCAATGCAGGAGGATCACTTGAGCCCAGGAGTTCAAGACCAGCCTGGGCAACATAGTGAGATCCTGTCTCTACAAAAAAAAAAATTTTTTTTTAATTAGCCAGGCATGGTGGAACACACCTGTAGTCCCAGCTACTGGAGTTTGAGGCTGCAGTGACCTATGATGACGTCACTGTACTCTAGCTGGGTGACAGAGTGAGATCCTGTCTCAAAAAAAAAAAGAAGAAACCGAGGAATTCCCTGAGAACAGGTCCTTCATAAAAATAACAGAGGACTGACCATCTTCTCAGTCCTCACTTCAATAAAGACCTCTGATCCCACGCAGCAAACACTCCTGGCTCTTTGCACGTGTCTACACACACCTGCTCTGCACAGGTGACCTACCTTGATGCTAAAAATAGGCTCTGGCAGACAGTAGCCACTCATGACGTTGGTCAGGTTTTCCAGGACGTTGTGGAAAACCTGGTGCAATTTCTCTCCGAGGATGGGCAGCGTCTGCTGGGAAGGAAGCTCTCCTGTGAACGGCTCGGCCTGACGAGACACAACAAGCACGAGAAGTCAAGGAAACTGTGGGACCGCGAGTGGGACGAGACAGCCCGGGGGCGAGGCAGATCTCCTAGCTTCCACCATCAGGCTAGGATGAAGCCTGAGAGAAACAAAAGAAAATATCACATCGGAAAGTTAAACTTGCTAACTAAGCACTCCGACATGGGTTTTCCAAATAAACCCCTTTGCAAATATCCCAGTACCGTTTTTCATAGCCCGACAATTTTGAAGGTTTTTTTGTTGTTGTTTCGATTTATAATCAAGATTGTCTCAATGTATTTTCATTCTCTACTGAATTGAATCCCAAAGATAAACAAACACCCAGTAGGACGAAAATTTGCAAAAATCTCATACAAATGTACCTGATTTTTGTAAATCATAAACATCAAGCCTTAGATAACCAAATGGAATGAAAAGCTCCCCAAAGGGGCAACACAGATGCAATGTACCCGTTCATCTAGTAATTCAGTCCACAAACATCCACTGTGCACGGAGATCCACGTCTGGGATGTGCTGTTCTCCTGGTCCTGGAACACTCCATTTCCCACCCCTGTAGGTTCCTCTTGCCCTTTAAGAGCTGATTTGAGGGTTTTCTCCTCTGAAATCTGATTCTGGATCCTCTGTTTGGGTCCCCACAGCCAAGGGCCAAGGGCAGTCCTCTTGTTGCCCTTATCAAGTTAAATTACTTTATCTCCATCTGTCGCCCAAGCACTTATATGAATCTGCAGGGACTGGGTCACAGCCAGGCCATGTCTCATCCACCTAGCACAGGAAACGTTTGCTGAAAGGAGTATCGATGCAGACACACAGACCCGCCCACTGGTCCACAAAAGCTCAGTCTATTTCTAGCTTTGGGAACCCCTCAAGAGAATAATGAAAAAAATGCAAAGAAAACAAATAAATGAAACTAACAGAAAACTCGAAAGAAGAGACACAATGCGATTTCCTTAAATGCTTTTTTTCTGGGCAGATGTGCCAATTATTTTAGAGAACGGGACAACACATACCTGAACGGCTCCTTAGGAAGGGGTAAACGTTCACGCATTCATCAACAAGACCTGTTTTTTCTGAGCACTCACTATAACACCCCAAGCACCGTGCTAAGCGCCAGGATCACAATGGGGAACAACGAAAAGTAGTTCTTGACCTTGGAGACCCATCATCTAATGGCAAAGCTTGACGAATGCTGAAAAATTAACAAGAATCTATATTGGAGGTCGCAGTGTCACACAACACTCTGGCGCACCCTCTAATGGATCCGAGAACAGGGAGCTGCTCCCATGGCACCTGTACTTCTGTATGTTCATCCAACAAATATTTACGGAGCCCCTATTACGTGCCAGGTCCTGTTTTTGGCACGGGGGATCCGTCAATGAGCAAGAAAGATAAAAAGTCCTGGCCAGGTGTGGTGGTGCACACCTGTAATCCCAGCATTTGGGAGGCTGAGGCAGGAGGATCGCTTGAGCCCAGGAGTTTGAGGTTGCAGTGAGCTTGGCTGACGCCATGACACTCTACTCAGAGCAACAGAGTGAGACTCTGTCTCGAAAAAAACAACTAAGGAAATCGGAGTAAAACATGGACTTTAGTTAATCATGTATCAATATTGGTTCATTCATTGCAACAAATAGACCACATTATTGCAACAATAATAATAGTTAATAATAGTAATTCATAGTTAATTTGATAATAGTTAATAACAGGAGAAACTGGGTACTGGGCATATGGGAACTCTCTATGCTGTTTATGTAATTCTTCTGTAAATCTAAAACTGTACTAAAAAAAAATCTAAGGAAAAAAGGTGGTCAAAGAAAGTCCACTGGGGGATGATACTGGAATAAAGATTCACAGGAGGGCAGAGTGAGCCCCACCTACGAGGGCCTGGGGGCGGGTCCTTCCTGGCAGAGGGGACAGCCCCCAGGTGGGAGGGGGCTGGTGGGTCTGATTAAGCTAGGGGAGGAGGCGGCCAGAGATAGAAAGCAGGGGACAGCTCAGCTGGGGTCTCGCAGGTCATCGGAAGAACTCAGGTTTTCCTCCAAGCAGGCCTGAGCGCGGAGAGGGGTCTGAGCAAGGCAAGGAGCGGCTGCCTGGGGTTTCTGCACATCACCCCGGCTGCGGGGAGGAGCGTCGCCTGCAGGTGGCAAGCAAGGTGGGCGAAGAGCTGTGATGGGGCTCAGAAAACAGGGGCCCACGTGCAGGCCTCAGAAGTAAAAATTCTTCTCTGACCCTCTTCCATCCTGCTGCCGCCCAGCTCTCCTCTCCCCCAAGGCAGGTTATAGAAACCAGAACGCCTTTTCCCTACAGCCAGCCGCGAAGCCTAAAATGACTCTGCATAAAAATAGGCCATCAAGGAACTGCCTGACCCCCGATTCCAGAGGGGGCCCTGCCCACACCCAGAAGGAGAGTACGTGCTCAGGGAGGCCAAGAAGGATCTAGACAGATGGGTCTTGCTGGGTCTCCCCACACATTCTGTTCACATCAGAGCACACACTTTTTGTCTAATTGTATTTCCACATGGCTGTTCGTATGTTTAGGTTGAAACTAAACATAAAAATGGACAGTTTCTCCTATAGCTTTGAGTTTTCATTCTAAAGGCTCCCATGTATACGTTAAAATTAACGTGTATGTCTTTTTCTCCAATTAATCAATCTGCCTCATGTCCGTGATTTTCCAGCAAACCTCTACGGGGCCAAGGGCCTCGGCCCCTGCAGCTGCAAGTCTATCTGTCTAACTAAGCAGGTGGATGTCGCGAGCACACCTGCGCCAGCCAGAGCACCTGGGCCGTGGTGTCACGTACCGGGTGCACTTTAGAAGGGTCATCGAGCTCCAGCCTGGCCACCATGCAGCCCGCTTCCAGCGCAACCCCCGGACGCTTAACGTACTTCACCCGGCCGCTTTCCTGCACGCTCAGGGTCATGATCATCTTCATCACCTGTTTTGCAGAAAGAATAAATAAGACAGAGTCCACCAGGACTGGCCTGTGTGTGTGACACTCAGAGTCACCCAGAACTAATGACACTGGAGCAGAGACTGAGTCATTTAAACAGAATGACTCCCTGGGCAGTGTTCCAGCAGGAAGGATAGAGAAACCTAGTATTTACTGGAAGCCTGCTGTGCACTAGGCAGAGTACTCTTTATGAATTATCTCAATCTGCAAAGCCAGCCCAGGGAGTAGGCGTTTATTATACCCATTTTACAGATATGGAAACTGATGTTTCTTTCCAAAGGAAGGCCTATCTCTTAGAAATGCAATGAAATCTTATTACGTAGGGTGACTAATATACATGTTCCTAAAATGTGCTCTCCAAATCGAGCATTTTGTGAAGGGCTCCTTTCTTTAAAGACACCAAGAAAACCCTGAGGGGAAGGTTTTATGCAGTGGAGAATATGCTCACAGCACGTGCACTGGGCCCTTGAATTTGAATTTGCCGGAGTGTCTGGATACACGTATGGCATGAATTTTGTCACCGTGGTGCCAGCTACAGACAGTAGGACTGTGCTGTCTCTTGCTTGGCAGGTCACAGCTTGGGCACCCAAGCCGACCAGGCCTGGCTGGAATCCCGGGATCCCTTCTCATTCCCTCTGTGATCACCAGAAAGTGCCCTCCCCTCCTTGAACCTCAGTTTCCCTAATTGTAAAATGGGGAATAATGACGGTTTCACCTCTTAGGGCTTATATAAGATTAAATGAGATGAAGAACCTGGCCCGTAGCAGGAGGTTGATACTCACGGGCTACTATTATTCATTGCCATTATTGTTATTGTTTTCCTTGGCAGCACAGAAAGGGGTCTGGGTTTGAATCCTGGCTTTGTGCAACCTTGAGTGAGTTTCTTAGCCTGCCTGGGCCTGGTTTTTTCATAAAATGGGGATCACAGCCTGTCACGTGGTAAGGGCTTTGCAAGGGTTGGCTAAACACCTTTTAATCGACGCCATCACTATTATTAATCGGTTCTTACTCACTCCTGGGGAGGCGTGCGTTTTTTGAGGTTTTCTCTTTGAATACTGGGGGAGATTTGGGCTGAGCCCAACAGACTGGCTTTCTCAGGAATTTGTAGATAGTGGCCAAGGTGAGAGGTGAGGCCTTTTTGCTCGAACACAGACAATGCCAGGAGAGCAGGGGTTTAGGGGAGGCTGGCTACAGACCCCACACCCCAGGGCCGACTCCGTGGTCACCTCCATCTCTGCGTAGCTGCTCCCGGCCTCCACGTGGCCCCCATCCTCCACCGTGTACTGCGTCAGCTTCCCAGCCGAGGGGGCTCTCAGGACCGTGGGATCGTTCTCCTTCTCAAACACACACGTCTTGTTGCCGATGGTAATTCGGTAACTGGGAGAGAGGAGGCATGGGGTAGGGGTCGATGAGGACCGTCGACCCTGCAAGCTTGAGCAAGACCTCTGACAGTATTTCCCCTAAAGGCAGCCAGGACTGTCACCCTCTGTGCCGTTTCAGGGACTCTACATTCCCAAATGGTGGCGTTTGACAGTTATCCCAGATACTGGGAGTGAGCTGGGTGAGTGAAAAGGTATGATATGACCCTGTTTCGGCTGAAAGCGAATTCCTTTGACTGATACATTTCCAACAGGCTCTGGCATAGAGACAGCAATCAATAAATAGGATTCAGTAAATATTTGCTGACTCCAAGTGTTCACCTTACAACTGAACGGGGGAGAGCGGAACCTATAATAATCTTGAATGTTCTTGGCAGATAGAACGCGGGTTAAAAAAGAGATAATAAAACACTGCTCTAGCATGGACCTCGTCTGCCTTCTTGCAAAACACTAAGTGGAGCTTTTCCAGGCACGGGGCCTCTGGCATCCTCTCGCCTTTTACTGTCGCTGGCCGGGGTCTGTGCACATTTCATTATGTGTGACCTCGGTGTGCTCGGAACGCTGGAGAAGGAGCATCTTCAGGGCCTGTCTCATGAGCCCACGTGCTAGAAGCACCCAGAGCAGCCTGTGTGTTCACCATCAGGCACACGGCAGCCTTTCCTCCCTCTGTCTGCTCGTTTAGGGTGTCGTCTTCCCCAGCGGGCTCGAAGCTCCACCAATTGTGACCACGGTGCTATCTCAACACCTAGCCCAGCACCTGGTGCAGAGTAGCTCCAAAAATAACTGCCGCGCTAACTGGCTGGACCATCCACACGGATGCGCGGGGAGCGCAGCTCAGACGCAGGGGGCAGCAGGGACCGAGGGACACACCTCACAGGTGAGGAGCTCCTGCTCAGCTCTGAATCTTCCCAGGCTGGTACAAAAGGGCCTCCCGGGAGCCTTCCCCACATGCCTGCCAGCTGCCTGGAACTCTAACCAAGAAATTAACCTCTCCACGTACTCCCAGAATTTACCAGGCTACCTCGTCTAAGACCCTCAGACCTGCACAGGCCAGCTCTGTGTTTTCGACTCCCACGAGAGAGCCAGCTGTGCACGCCCGGCCCGTGGCCGGACCTGGCGCACCCGCGCACCTGTCGACCTCTTCTTTCATGTAGGTGGTGTAGCTGTTCCCGTTGTAGGACAGCAGTAGCCCGCCATCGTTCAGCCTGTGGGCGTCGATCTCGATGTGGCAGCCGTTCATGATGAGCACAAACATGGTCAGAGACTGCCGGGCCACCTGCAGGGACAGGCCCCACGTCACCGCCTGGGTTCAGGATGGGCTCCCAGAGCACTGTTTGGTCCCTCTCTGACAATACCTCCCGGCCTCAGCCCTCACTGCCCCCAGGGCAGCAGCAGAAGATGGGGCCGGAGAAGGCCTGGAGTCAGCGAGCCACACTTGCCCCGTGGGTGGGCTGATGGCCGCTGGTGCAGACCGAGTCCCTGTCCAGCCATCTCCTGCCAACTGCATGCCCTCGGGGGCTGGGGGCTTCCTTCTGATTCCTGCCTCCCGGCATCACCACGCTCGGCGGCAGGGAGATGGGCTCTCGCTCTGGGTGAGGCAGCCCTGGAGACACCACCAGCAGCCTGGTGCAACGGACTGAATGTTTCCGTCTGTTCCCCAACCCCAAATTACGCGTGGAAATCCTAACCCCGAAGGTGATGGCATTAGGAGGTGAGGCCTTTCGGAGGTGATGAGGTCATGAGCAGGGAGCCCTTCCAAAACACAAGGACACAGTGAAAAGACAGCCATCTACGGGACAGAAAACAGGCCCTCATCAGACACCAAATCTGCCAGGGCCTTGATCTTGAACTTCCCAGCCTCTAGAATTATACGAAATACATTCTGTTGTTTATAAGCTGCCCAGTCTACGGTATTTTGTTATAGCAGCCCAAACGGGCCAACACGCCTGAACCTGGGCCAGGGCTCTGCTCCTCAGACCCAGTTCTGCTCAGGCGCACAAGAGAGGTTTGGGACACAGGACAGAGGCACGTGGCCGGGCGCTGGCCCAGGCTCTACACCTCCATCCAGCCGAAGTGCCAGCCCCATCCAGCTCTCAGCACACTGTGTGTGTTCTCTCTCGGAAAACAAACACGCTAAAGGCCCTCCACCTATAAAACATATATTTTATGACAAAAGCTAGCAAGAAACATAGAAATACTTATTGTAACATCATTTGTGATAACAATGAAAATTAGAACCAAACTAGCGATCCAACAAGCTTGCGGCAGAATACTCCAGACCTGCGCTGTCCAATACAGTGACACTTGCCTCATCACATGTGGCTATTTGAATTAAAATTAACCAACATTAAATAAAACATAAAACCCAGTTCCTCAGTCCCACTTGCCATAATTCAAGTGCCCAACAGGCACAGGCAGGCACCATACTAGACAGGGCAGACAGGGGATATTTCCATCACTGCCGAAAGCTCTGGTAGACAGTGCTGTGGATGCTAAACTCATGCTAAAGAAAACTTGTTAATGACATGAGAAACTTTATGCTGTGATAATACCAAGGTCCGAAAACTATATTTGTACCAGCAGCCTGGGCAACAGAGTGAGACCCCATCTCCTAAAAAAAGAAAAAAAAAAAAAAAGAGGAAATGATACTGGATTAGGGTGGGCACTAAATCCAACATGACTGGTAACTTCCTTCCTAGAAGGTACATAACGTGAAGACAGACACACACACACCCACAGACACACACACACACACACACAGAGGGAACACAGCATGTGAAGGCAGCAGCAGACCGGAGCAACGCACCCACAAGCCAAGGAACACCAAGGGCTGCCCGCGACCACCAGAAGCTGGGAAGGCCTGGAGCGGGTGCTTCCCTAGCACCGTCAGCTGACACCTTGATTTTGGACTTCTAGCCTCCAGAACAGTGAGAGAATACGTTTCTGACGTTTTAAACCGCCAGTGTGTGGTACCCTGTTACGGCGGCCACAGGAAACTAACACGCACATCTTCCAGCCCTTTGTGCACCGCTCAACTCTGCCTGGTCCGAAACCCGAAGTCTTTTTAGGTTTCAGGGTCACAAACCCCACGGGGATTCCTGAGCAACATGAATGCTCGGCCCGAAGCATGAGAAAATCCACCCTAGGGATGGGTCCCTCCAGCCTCCAGCGTGCCGGCGACATCCGGGAAGGAGCGCAGGACGCTTACCTTGAGGACGTACTTGATGCCTCCGTAAATTAACTCCACGTCCACGATGTTCAGCAGCGAATCTGCCGGGAGGACCTGGCCCCTGCGAAAGAAGACTGAGCTGCGGGCAGCCTTGGGAGCGTCCGAGAACTCTGGAGCCATCCCCTGGATTTAAAGAAGTCACCCAGCCCTCTGCCTTCCCTGAGCAGCCACAACCCAGACGGCACTAAAAAGAACCGAGTCTGATTAAAGGACGTACACGGGGCTCGGCGCACCCCAGGGAGCCCGACGATCCGCAGGATGTAAGGAATTCTTAAGGAGCCCAGGCTGGTGACGGGCTTGTCACACAAATAAAGCACGTCCTGCCTTCTGCGCCACTGACACACAGCACCGGAGGGGAAAAGAACTGCCGTGGGCCCTACCTCTCCAGGGAGTGCAAGAAATCCGTCATGCAGGTTCTGAACATCGCGTCGGCCACGTTCAGGGCCCCGCACACCACCCCGAGCATGATATCCGGCTTCTCGGCCTAGGGAAGACCCTCCGCTTCAGTATCCGTGGGGAGCTGGGGGTCTCGGCCACCCGAGGGGAGACACGGGTGGCTCCCGCTACCTGCACTTTTTCGGCGATGAGGTGGTCCAACCATCCGGTGTCGATGTCGTTGTTCTGGAAGCTCTCGGTCTCCAGGAGGTTAATGAGATATTCCACGGTGGTCCTAAAGTCGCCCCGGATGGACAGTTCCTTCAAAGCCACCACCATGTTCCTTGAGGGGAAAGGCACACGGATGGTTTTCCAAATTAGCGCGAGCATCATCGACAGGGTTCCCGTGATCACTCTCACGACGCGGTTCTCAGCGAACCAGGAAATCTCGGGAGGTAAGAGAGGGCCCTGCGTCAGACAGCCAGGGTGTCGATCTCCTTGCCACCACTTACTGGCTTGGTCGTCCTGGGCAAGTGACTTAACTGCTCTGGGCCTCAGTTTCCTCGTCTGGAAAATGGGGACATAACCCTGACTTCGTGAGGCTGTTTGAGGGTTTAAAATGAGACAATCCATAAACAACACAGCCATTGATCATTAAGTGCTAACTGCTAAAACGTGATGTGTTGCCATTATTATAATTATTAACCATAATAGCTAATTATTAATAGAGAGAGAATCAGTCACTCTGCCTCTGTCTCTCCCTTGACCTATTCAAATCTGCTGTCCCCAGAGCTGGTGCCACCCTCTCATGGTCCACACAGCTGCTCTGTCCGGTGTGCACAGGGTGCATCTGCAGATGGGTGACACTGCCACCCGGCTCAGAGGCCTGGCGGGCACCATGGCTTCCTCCCTAAACACAGCCTCCGACCTCAAAGAGCACCGGTCCAAAGGGCTAAACCTGCACTCCCTGCGGACTCCCAGCGAGAGTGTTTGGGGAGGAACGCACTAAAGATGGGCGAGGTGTCTGAACGCTCGTCCTGGGAGAGAAACCTCTCCCATCTGACACCCGTGCCTGCGTGCCACCGGCGGGCATGGACAAGGGGCATCACGACCCCATTCTGAGGGTGAGACATTGTGGACCCAGAGAGGTCACACGAGGGTGTCGCCAGGCTACAGAAAGTCAGCTGTGGAGCTGGGAGCCCGATCTGAGAGTTGAGCCACCGGACTCTAGGCGGACAAACTGATTCCTGTTTGCTCAGGGCATTGCCAGCTTTAGCACTGAGAAGTCCCGGGAACACCAGGACAGCTGATCCCCCCTGTCAGACTCTGAGTGACAGCGATAAGAAAAGCTGGAATTTCTTGTTCTGAATTCTGTTGAAGCTGCTGCTTGTCACTTCACAGCGTGGGACGAGCCACGGGTGATTTCATTCCCAGGGGGCTGGGCCAGCTCACCCGTTTGCTACCTCTCCTGTTAAACCTTCTCTGCTGCAACCTTCCACGAGCTTCAAGGATCTCCACTTTTCACTGAGCACGATTAAAATTACTTATCCTAAGCTGGCAAAGAAAGCCCGGTCTTCAAAACCGCCAAATTTAATTTAATTCTTGGCTAAGTGCCCTGGGCCAGATTTTAATGCTTTCTGAATGATACGTCCACAAGGTCTTTGGGATTTTTCATTCTGAAGGGCAGTGATCCACCCACATGACAATGCAGAATTACAAAGTGAGCTGGTGTTCTGCCCTTCTGCACCCCCAACGCAGCAGGAGAATGTCAGATGCAGGTGTCAAAATTGGGGAGGCTCTTTGTCAATGTGGGTTTCTCGCCCCTGCAGAACTCTGCAGCCAAGCATGGACTTGGCTCAACTGCGGACAAGGGGCTGCTGACACAGGCTTCACGGTGGTGAGCGGTTCACGGCAGGACACACCCCCTAAGAAATTGAGTCTCAGGCATGAAATACAGCCAACTAGGGAGCTATCTGTGAGGTTTGAATTTAAAGGAGTTTCCCTCTGCCTCTTTTTTTTTTTTTGGTCAACTCTGGTATTCAGAACCTTTTAAACGTGTGGTGTCACCTTGAACAATCTTTGGATCTCCTTCAAGTTAGAACTCCTATAAGCTCCAGACCAAAAGACCTTGGTGAGTTCATTTTACTGTGCGGATCTCCAATAAAGGAAAAGGGCAGACTTTGACCTTGAACTTCGAGCACACAGTATTTAAAATAGGGTCTGCCCTGTGATTCACCTTTCTTGGTCTCCTGCAATGCCAATGCATCTGAAACCACAGGGGACATTTTAGTTTCTTAAAGCAAGGAAAGACGGGAAGATAGGAGGGAGAAAGGAGGGAGGGAGGGAAGGAAGGAAGGAATAACGGAGGGAGGGGAAGGCGATACTGACGAAATGGCCTCTTCGCGGTTCTCTCCCCAGGAGAAGCAGTGCCCGAACTGGGAATCGGCGAACTCGTGTAAGCCTCCGGCGGCAGCCACGCTGAAGTAGCCCCACACGTTCTTGTTGCTGCGGAAATTTAGTTCCTGGACCGTCCCAGAGCTCGGCTTAAACCCCTGGAGCCCGGACAGAAAAAGGAAAATGGAAGAAATCATCACTCCAGATGTATTTTCACCAGAATTCAGGCCTGGGAAAACCCAAGAATGCCAACCACAACCAAAAGCTCGGGGTGAGCTATGAAACATTGATCTCTCTTGTTGCAGGTGTGGACGGAGCTAGTTACGGGTGTACGCACGTGAATGCCTCCTCGATGCCTGTAATTTTTATTTTTAAAAAACTATAAAAAAGAACAACTGAGCTGGGACAGGGGAGGAGGTGTAGGTATAAATATGGGTGAATGCTGATGATTGTTGGAGCTGGATGAAGGGACATTTTGATTTTATACACTTGATGTTTTCAAAAATAAAAAAGTTTAAGTAACAGTGAAGAGTGGTTAGATTTCCAACTCTGGAGGACAATTCCCACAGGACCTAGGGTACCCCCAGGTGGGCCCCTGCAGCTGCTAACACACACCTGATCCCCTCTGGAGGGGGTGGCGCATCCCTCCTGAGCACTATTTTGTTAAGAGTGAGTGGACGTGGACCCTCTCGCTGGGATTAGTTTTCTTGCATTAAGTGCTGGAGCACGTTAGCTTTGGGAGAGGTGTGTGAAAGCAAGAGATGCAGAGGTCCAGGTGACTGGGCTGTTTCCAAACCTGGTTCTCCACCCTCCCAGACACCCGGGAACAAGCCAATATCCCTCCAGAAAATTCCCATTTTGCTTGACCAGAGTCCGTGCTTTATTTGCAGCCAAGAACCCCAAACAGATGGAATAGCTACCACAGATTAAAATTATTTAATTAATAGGGAGGGGTAACCTCTCTTACCCCAAGTTTCCTGAATGCAACAATTAAACAATTAAGTTGCAGTAAATTAACGAGTCCCGTGACTTTCAAGGGTCAGTTCATGTGTAAACTGTAATAGATGCCTGGTGGTTCGTTTTTTAAGACTCGAGTAAGACCAAGTCACAAAGGGACCCCCTACAATGGGCTGGGCCAGAAATTGTTAATATTGTGGCAAAAAGCACATGGGGGCGGGGCACGGTGGCTCATGCCTGTAATCCTAGCACTTTGGGAGGCCAAGGCAGGAGGATTGCTTGAGGTCAGGAGTTCGAGACCAGCCTGAGCAATAAATGAGACCCTGTCTCTACAAAATAATAGAAAAATTAGCCGGGCATGGTGGCGCGTGCCTGTAGTCCCAGCTACTTGGGAGGCTGAGGCAGGAGGATCACTTGAGCCCAGGAGTTTGAGGTTGCAGGGAGTTATAATGACGCCACTGCACTCCAGCCTGGGCAACAGAATGAGATGCTATCTCAAAAATAAATAAATAAATAAAAGCTCATGGGGCCAGAAACCCAAGGACCACATCCGACTGCCTGTCCCCAGGATGGAGCCTGGACTTTGGAGTCCACCGACTGGGCTCAGTAACGGCCCCAGCAGGTCCCAGGTGGGAGGCGGGAGGCAAGTGACCCCAACCTCTCTGGCTGTAATGTGGGGTAACCATGGCCCACATCCGTGATGGCATGTAAGTGAGCACTGAGACGCAGCAAGGGTCCCAGTAATCCACTGATCCAGTACATCCCCAAATCCCATGAACCATGACCTGTCCCATCCTGCACCTCAGTTTCCCCATTTGTAAACCGAGAAGCCAGCCGGACAGCTGGTGTCTCCTCTAAGGCTAACATCCAGGGTCTGCCCCACTGGGTCTGCCCCACGCTGGGAGATTTGAGATGGGGGAAACACAGGGGCCCCCACAACTTGCCTCATCTGGGTTTTCGCTGGTGATTCTGGCTGCAATGACGTGGCCTCGGGCGAGGGGGGGATGTGAAGGGGTTTCGAAAGAAATGGGCGTCACCGCCCATGGTGACTCTCCGTACAGAAGCCGGATATCCTTCAGCCGGTGTAGGGGCACCCCCATGGCAATCTGAAAGCAAGAAATCCACCCCATGGACTGTCAGTGGGAGACACACAGTGGGAGACACGACACAGGAAGGGGTTAACGGTCAATGATTTCAGATATACTGAGCACCAGGTATACAACACGGGGCACTACCACGGCAGGAGAGGCAAAAAAGGAAAAAGCAACAAGGTGGGAACCTGCCATCGCAGAGCAAAAGTGTCGGTGGCAGCTGGGCGAGGTGGCTCACACCTGTAATCTTAGCAGTTTGGGAGGCTGAGGCAGGAGGGTTCTTGGGGCCAGAAGTTCAAGACCAACCTGGGCAACATGGCAAGACCCCATCTCCACAAAAAATTTTTAAAAATTAGCCAGACACCATGGTGTGCGCCTGTAGTCCCAGCTGTTTGGGAGGCTGAGGCAGGAGGATCACCTGAGCCCAGGAGTTTGAGGCTGCAGTAAGCTGTGATCATGCCACTGCACTCCAGCCTCGACAACACAGCAAGACCCTGTCTCTTAAAAAAAAAAAAGTATGGTTGGGAAAAGCAGCAACATTCATGAAACAACATTAGACAAGAAGAAAACATTCGCGTCAAGTAAAAGTTCTAGACATTCAGCACTATGGGAGGTGAGAAGTCCTCTGCAGGGTTAAAGGTTTTGCAAAGGACACATGCAGGGGAAGCTGGACATGAAGACTGGGTTAAAAACAGACAATTATGGACACCAGCTTAACTGAATCCCAAATTTAGCATCCGGTGCCTCCCGATGGGATGTACTAAGGACATAACAACACCTGTGTAATATTCTGCCCAAATGTTCAGTGTGAATCTAATCAGGAAGAAAAAAAATCAGACATCCAAAGTGAGCGACATTCTGCCAGAACTCTTCAAAAATGCCAATGTCGAGAATGAGCTAAATAGGACTGGGTACCGTCCCAGATTAAAGAGACATGACGATGAACTGGAATGTGTCATTCCGGGTTGGAGCCTGGATTTAAGGAAACAAACAAACAAACAGCCATAAACGGACATTTCTGGCCCAACTGGGCAAATTTGTCGTGTGGCTGGTATATATTAGACACATACGTGGTGTCCATGCTATACTTCCAGAGAGTCGTAATTATATCGGGGTATTGTGCCAGAATGTCCTCGTTCTTAGGAGGCCCTCGTGCCGCCGTGTCCCACCAGAGGCCACGTGGCATGAAGGTTCCAGTCAAACCACCTTAAAAATTTTTTTGAGCCAAAAAATAAAAGTTATACAACGGGAGAGAGAGAGAAAGAGAAAGAGACAGAGAGAAAGCAAATGTAACAACTGGTGGATCTCCATGCAGGGTATACGGGTGTTAATTGTATTATTCTTACAGCTTTTCTGAAATTTTTCAAAATGAAAAACAATTTTTTTTTTAATTTTTAAAAAGAAAAAAATCTGAAAGAAGGAAAAGAAGGAGGGATGGCGGGAAAGAGGGAAGAAGAAAGAAAGAAAAGAAACATTAATAAAAAAATTTCAGAGTTTTCATTAATCGAAGAGTTTGTAACTCTGGGTCACGTATTCTTCCTAGGGGTGATATTGTCCCCAAAGGGGCAAATATTTGTTTTGGGGAATGAAAAAAAATCTTACTCTTTTTCTGTATAAAACACAGATATAGCTACAATATCCAAACAGATATATGGTATATTTGTGATATTAAAATTTCACAGGGGAGGGATTAGGATAAAGAATGTCTTAAAACACTCCTGGGTGGGGCAGCAATAATGAAAAAAAGGTTAAGAAACACGTCTCTAGGTCTATGAAGGTATCGGGGGTCCGTGAAGATCTGAAATTATGTAAAATACATTTTCCCAGGAGGAGGTCTATAGCTTTCACCAGTTTCTAAAATGGCTCTATGGCCAAAGGTGACAAACACTTCGTGGAAGGTTCTCAGTTTTTGTGGTGCCCAACGCTACTCACACATCCAGTCATTGCCCAGGAACAGCCAGCCAAGAGGTGGGCAGGAAGGTGCCTCCTAAACCCAGGGAGCAGGACAAGGCCCTCCCCCCGCCAAATCCCACCCCAGGGCTTGGAGCCCGTCATCTTGCCTGTAGCTGGGCGGCTGGCAGGTTGACGTCAGCGATCATTTCTGTGCAGGGATGTTCTACCTGCAAGCGGGGATTCAGCTCCAAGAAGTGGAAGCTGCCGTCCTGGCTGTAGAGGTATTCGACCGTCCCTGCGCTCACGTAGCCCACGGTCTTGGCCAGGCGGACGGCACACTGCAAAGACACAGAGGCCACGGGCTTTCCAGTGGTCTTTTCGGGTCATTGTAAATGGGGACTATTCATTCACTCACCAAATGCAGACTGAGCACCCGTGTTGCGTGACATATTTGGGGACCTCATAGATCAGCTAATGAATAAACATGGATGATGCTGAAATCATCTCCAGGATGGGCCCTTCTCCTCTTCTTGGGCATCCACCCCACCTTCTAGCCCTGCTAACCATGCAGACTATGGAAAGCGTTTGCTGACTCTGAGCTGAGATGCCTCTCCCTGCAGCTGTCCCCCAGGCTCCACAAAGCACACCTGCTCCATGAACTCGAACACGGCCAGCGGGGCAATGGTGGCCGGCGCCTCCTCAATGATCTTCTGATGCCGTCGCTGGATAGAGCAGTCCCGCCCAAACAGAGACACGGCGTTCCCGTACTGGTCAGCGAGGATCTGGACCTCCAGGTGACGGGCGTGCTGGGCCAGCTTCATGAGAAAGACCGGCGAGCCCGGGATCTCACTCTGTACCTGCAGGGGAAGGAGAGCGGCTCATTCTTCATAGGGAAACCAGCTCTAGAAGCTTCTGGAAGTTACCAGAAGAGCGCAAAAAACAATAGCAGCGATGTGGTTAGGAGATTCCTCTAGGATTCTACTGGTCTTTTACTTTGTTGTCTCAAAGACATCATATTCTCGGGCTTTTGTAAGTCGAACATTGTGAAAACTGTGAAATTTCCCCACAATCCCATCTCCTAAAGATAATGCACTGTTGACAGTTTGGTGTGCAAACTGGTTTTCTTCTACACATATAGCAACACATACAGAGAAAGTTTCTTTGAACAAAACGGGACCAAAACACACTACTTTGCAGTTTTCTTTTTCTCCTACCTCTTGCACTTTCTCAGCTAGCTCTGCACCGTGGAACCTAAGTACAAACTTATTCCATCCTTTAAGGGCTGAAAGGCACTGCCTTCTAGCTATGTCATCTAGAGAGTCTTAAAGACAATGTAAGAAGCAGTGCACACCTGCAATGATTTTTAAGACAAATTAAGTTTAAAAAAAGCAATTTGTACTAACATAGGATGATCCCACTTAGACGAAAAATACTAGAACAACTGTATGAATGTCTATGTAAAAGTATAGACAGGGAAAGTTCTGGAAGAGACTCAGCTGCTAACAGTGGTTACATCAAAGAAAGCAGAAGGGGTTGGGAGGTAACAGTGAACAGGGCCTTTTCCTTTTTTATTCTTAACACATCACTGGCTTGACTTTCTACATTAAGAATATTTTCAGGGTCGGGCGTGGTGGCTCACGCCTGTAATCCTAGCACTCTGGGAGGCCGAGGTGGGTGGATTGTTTTGTTTGAGCTCAGGAGTTCGAGACCAGCCTGAGCAAGAGCGAGACCCCGTCTCTACTAAAAATAGAAAGAAATCGGCTGGACAACTAAAAATATATAGAAAAAATTAGCCGGGCATGGTGGCGCATGCCTGTAATCCTAGCTACTTGGGAGGCTGAGGCAGGAGGATCTCCTGAGCCCAGGAGTCTGAGGTTGCTGTGAGCTAGACTGACATCATGGCACTCTAGCCCAGGCAACAGAGTAAGACTCTATCTCAAAAAAAAAAAAGAATATTTTCATAGTGCACTCAAGCTAGTAAAAGGAAAAAGCTTAGCAGGGTTGTGCGTGCGTGGGGCCAGGGCGAATGTGGGGACTCACTGTAATTTCTGCTCTGTTTTGCTATGAACCTGAAACTGCTCAAATAGATGAAATCTACTTTTTAAGAAGAAGAAAGCTTTAAAATCGAAATGACCCCTAATGCAGTGTGGGATCCAGGACTGGCTCCTGCCACTGGAAAAGGCCATTCGTGGGAAAACTGGTGAAATCTGAATTAAGTCTAGCGTTTACTTAACAGAAACGTGCCCACGTTGATCTTTTACTTTCAACAAACGTAGTGTAGTTATACGGAAAATGTTAGTAACAAGGAAGACCGGGTGAAGCACAGACAGCAACTCTCTGTTCTAGCACTGCAACTTTCCTGTTAACATAAATTCATTCCACAAAGTCCCCCCAGGAAACCTGTGCACCCCAACGAAGACACCACGGTTGTGAAACTGCTTCTTTATATAATGCTCACATATTGTCGAGAGCTATATTATTAGTAAAACTTCTATGGAAAGTAATTCACTGATACATATTCATTAAGTGCATATAAAATGCATGCTATTTAACTAAGTCCTTCTCCCCAGGTCTTTATCCAAGAAAATAATTCAGAAGAAGAAAAAAAAGCTAGGTATTACTTATAGTACTAAATGCCATAATATACCTTAGTATTTTTGTACCATTATTCATAATAACAAAAATGGAAACAAGCTAAACATTTAACAAAAAAGGAAAGGTTTCATTAATAAGGATACAGGCCCCTATGAAATACTGTACAATCATCAAAACAATTCTGAGCGTTGGAACAACGCGATCTCAATGTTTGTGATCTATGATTTAGAATTTTTTTAATGTAAAACACAATTTTGTGTAGACTGAATATATCTTTAAAATCTGTACATAGAGACGGTCTAGAAGAAAACTTAGAAATATTAAAATGGTTATGTTTAAGAATGACAAGATTGTCAGCTTACATTTTTTTAAACATTGCTCCGAACAGGCACGATGTTTTAAAAAAGGAAAACAAGCTACAAATAGGTAAATATACCATTAGTTCCTACAATTCAAGTTGATCATTTAGAAATGTTAAAAATGCCATGACGACTAAAATTTACAAAATATCCCATCCTTCAATAGGCCCTCGTAGTCACCATCAGCGATCATGACCCTGTAGCTCCTAAATTATGTACAGATGCGCTGATTTGCAGAATTGAACATCTAAGGAAATGGTATAAAGATGAACACAAAACCATGGCTTCTGAAACGTACGAGTTTGCTTCAAGATGCCCCATGTCCATAAATCCAGCTCCTGCCAGTATCTTCTTCATCGTCACCGCGTCATGCTAATAGACACAATCTGGTGGCCAACAACTCGATGAAGCCATTCCCCAGGACGTGCGGGAAAACACGAGGCAAGACCCACGCACCTGTCTGAAAAGGATGGGGAAGTCCTCCGCGCTCTCAGCCTTCCGGATCCCTTTCCCTCCGCCGCCTTCGGACGCTTTGATCATCAAGGGAAAACCAATTCTTTCCGCCGCCTGGGTGCAAAGGACAAGCAGACCTCGTTAGAGGCTAGGCGGTTGCCCGTGCCTTGCAGGGTGAGGAAGAGGTTCTGGCTCCGGCCGCGCTGGCCCAGCGGGCCCTGCGCTTACCTCCAAGGCCTCGTCTACGTCTTTCACACAACCCTGTTCGTAAACGTCCTCCGGGACGCTGATTCTTTTCCCCTGCCGCAAATCGTCGTCTGTCCACGCCAATGTCAGACCTGGAGAGTCACAAAGAAAGTTGATTCCTCCTGAGGATGGCAGAGACACTCGCCAACGCAGAAACCCCAGGGCCTCCCGGACAAAGCAGCTCTCGGTCTGGGCCTCCGGATCGACACGACACAGACACGTCCCTTTGGCTTCCCACAGCAGCTTTTCATTGTCTCAAGGACGGGCTCACCCTTGACCAGGAAATCAAGCCTAAGAAATTCAGACTGAGTCTACCAAGAACAATCATACTAACCTGAATCCAAAAAAATCCCCATTCTACCCTATGGAGTCATTTATATTATCATTATATCATTAAATCATTATTATCTAAAACCACGTGAAGATTTAACAAATAAAAACAAATAAATAAATTTTCCATTCCAAATTTAAAATTCAACCTCTAGAGCAAAAAATCAAATTTAATAGGAGACTCCTGTTTTCCTGTTTATTTTTTAATTTGTCCTAGAAATTCCACTTTTTGGAATTTATCCTAAGAAAATGGTTAAAATGCACATATAGATTTAGCTGTAAGATTATCAAAGCCCCATTCCTTTGACTCTTTTTTAAATTAGAAAAAATAAACTGGAAGCAACCTAAATTATGTAACTATAGAAGAAGGTTAAGTGAATTATGGTACATTCATACAACATAATCCTACGCAGGTATTTTAAATGGTGTAAAGTATATTTATTGACATAGAAAGATATTCACTGGTGAAAAAAAGTCACAAACTAGGAAATGTAAGCTCTCTCTTTTTTTTAAAGGATATACCTTAAAAAAAAGGTTAGAAAGGTAGCCACCTGCAATTTAATAAATGATCAACACTGGGTCATAGGATTACAGATGATTTCTATTTCTTTTTTGTACTTCTCGTATTTTCTAAGTTATCT